ATACTAAGGGATGTAACACTGCATGACTGCTCTGGGACTGCAGGCACAAAGAGACTGTAAAATTAGACTAACAGGTTCTGGCAGTGTCAGTTCAGTGTCCCAGGGGATCCCGGGGCAAAGAGTCATCAATGTAGTGTGTATCTCCCCTCTGTCAGTTTAACCCCGTTCCCCCTCGTCCTGTTCCTCCCCCTGATGACGAGTCCCTCCCCCCTTTCCTGCAGCCCCTTTCAGCCCTGGGGGGCCTCTCTAAGGTCTCCCCAGAGCCTTCTCTTCTCCAGCTGAACCCCCCAACCAGGTCCATGTCCTCCTGCTGTTGGTGCCCCCAGAGTTGGACCCAGCCCTGCAGGGGGGTCTCGAAAGCAAAGACACGGTATCTTTTTGCCTCGACCGTTTTGGTTTTAACTGGGACGCTGATACCAGTGACACGTCAACGATCTCCCCCGCTAAGGACGCTCCTGTGTCTCCCAGCGGCGCGGCTGGGCGCGCTGCAGCGCAGCCCCCGCCCCAGCCGGGGTTCACGGCGGTGCCAGCAGTGCAGAGGCGCCGCACTGGTGGTCCAGCACGTGCTGCCTTCAGCCACCTCGTCAGCGCCCTTCACACAACCCATAGGCCTCTGCTCAGCGCTGTAGTAGGAGAGCTTTAATTATTCAGGAGCCTCGGGAGTAACGTGCCTACGAGCTCCCCGGGAAGCAGCAACACTGGCAGGCGGCAGGTGATGTGCTGAGGGGCACAGGCAGCCCCGCGGGCTCCTTCCTCTGACCCACAGGAGCAGTTGCGCACAGGAGTCCTGGTGGAAGCAAGCAGGGATCTTCCCTCCCCACGGAGAAATATCACAGTGTTTCCAAAGGAGGAATGTTTATGATGCTCCTTCACACTCCCCTGGTGGTTTATACTGTTAGCAAAAGAGTTTGTTTTCCACTAAGCTGGCATTTGCCACAGCACAGGTAATTTTTTTCCCCTGCATTATTTCTGGTTAACTTCAGAGAAACTCCAGCATGTCTTTATTCAGATGTAAACATCAGTGTTAATTTACCACACAAAGCTCGGCACCCGAAGAATCATAAAAATACCTCAAGTGGATATGGGTTTTCCCCTTCATTATTTTTAAAGAGGAAAAGTAAATAAATACATAGGAGCCACAGTAACACACACCATGTTACACCAAATGCCAAAGCTGAATGAACAGAGGATTTACCCAGCCTCATACCAAGACAGGAGTCACAGTTAACACACTGGACTCTAGCCATACATATTTAAGATAAGGTTTAGACAGGCCACAAGGTAGATTCCAGCTACATTATAACTTTTTTTGACCCACTTACACAGCTGAGTAAATTATTGTGATGGAAAAATCAATTGGCAAAATCATTCAAGCAGGACAGACTTAAGGCGTACAGATGGAAAGGGAAATTCACAGTGAAGAGAATGAAAGAGGAAAGTCTGTGAACCAGGCCAAGCAATCACATTTGCTCATAACAGGCCAGCTGCCTGCAATAAATAGGATAACAGGGAAGCTGCTGTCTCAAGATAAAGGAAAAGGCAAGAGGTTTCTTGGATAAAATTGCAATAGATCAGGCAGATCTATTTAGATTCCAGAAGGACTGAAATCTAATTTTAAATGAGCTGAAGTATAAAACATGACTGCCTGAAATCCAGCACCCACTGATGCCCTTTGAGAACAACTCCTGAACAGCAGCTGTCAAAGCAAGGAGGAGCAGGGGCTGTTTCATATGCGTTGGACTGCGTGAGTGTGCCCAGCTCCAGCACCCGCACGGGCTATTGATTAGGCTGGGTTCTGATTTATGGGGGTGACCAATTAGAGCTTTAGCTGGGGAGAATGGGAATTCACTCTGACCCAGAGTGGTTCTTGACACAAGAGACTCCAGGAGTGCCCTGCAGGAGCCCTGGAGGGGACCTCCCAGATCACCCCATAAATGCACCTTGTATCATATACCTGGCATAAAGAAGAAACGGGGATTTTAGAACTGCTTTTTATTCAGACAGTGAGATTGATAACTCCTGAGATTTACTGTGTTCAATAAGCACAGAAATCTGAACAAGAGAAAGTCATTTTAGAGATTACTTTTTCAAGAAAAATAGTTTCGCTCTGGGTTCAACAAATTGTTGCATTTGGCAGCAGCCTGGACATACATGAAGGATGATTCCAGCAATACACTTCCGTTGCAGGTATCCAAGCACCACTGGAGCAACATCTGGAGGGTACAGACAGGCAAATTCCAAACTGAAATATTGAGCAAAGATAAACCAGAATATGGGCAAATTCACATTCACATTGCTGGAACAGGTCTGTGTCTACAACCAGACAGTACATACCCAGAAGCAGCAAAAAAGGGGCACTGGGTTACAACCAAGAATGTAGGAAAAAATACCTAAATAACAGTCAAGCTTTGGGTACTACAGTCCTCAGAAGAGAACAGGGGAGTTGTCAACAAAACAGCCAAAAGTTCTAACAGCTGATCTTGCCCCAGCTCCTGCGCAGCCCAAGGTCATTCTCTGTTCTGTTCCTTCATCGGAATTGTCTCCTCAGAGGACAATAATCACTGGCTGAGAAACAGGAACACTTTAGCCATGGTGGTCTGACAGCTGCATGGTAGCAAAAAATATTAACTGACCACTGGCTCCATACACTAATAAAATAAATGTCAGAGAGCACTATCCCTCTAGGCCACAACTCCAAAACAGCAGCTTTGGAAAGCTCCTAATCTGCAAGAAATAGAATGCAGAAAATCATGTAACATTCAAGATTGACAGTGGAAACCCCCTGTAGATAGTCCAGGAAATGGCAAGGGCCAGCTGTAATTCTGGAAACAGCAAGTCCTGCAGTGTATCAGGTAGAAATACTGAAAGAATAAACCCACCTTGGAATAAGTAGTTCCAGTAGCAGCATTATTATTATTAAATAGCATTAAAGCTTTTGAAGAGTTCCAAAAACCTAACAACTGAATGGGTCTTTTTGGTTTGTTTTACAGGGTAATTCTCCAGAGGACAGCAGCTTGAGGAGAGGGAGCCAGAACTACTAATAGTATTGGTGATGTGTAATGTCCTGTCAAGCAAGTGTTAAGTACAGAAAGATTCTAGGAAAGATGAATAATGAGCAGTGGAGTACTAGAACTAAACCAGGATAAAAACAGACTGAACCAGGATAGAAGGAAGAATTATTCAGAACTGGAGGACACGTGTGTCTCTAGAAATCCCTTTGTTTCCAAAATGTAACCCCATGATGCACATTTTAATTGGTAAACATGACTGATATAAAAACCCAGCATCTCCGAGATCTGGCAATATAGTAACAAAATTGGACATTTTAGACTATTTTTCCCCCATACAAACTCTCACAAAGTATTAGGAAGCCAATGTTAATGCTCTCTATAAGACTGACTGTTCCTAGAAAACATAAAGAGTTTGAAAGTTTTTCTTCAATGCCTCAGGTATTAGAATGCTCTTATAGGTTTAATGATTATTGATCCTAAATATAAAGCTTGTTTGTTTTACCAAAAGGGGAAGACAGAACTAGTAGATTTAATAAACTGTTTAATTTACATTGTAAGAACTTGTTGTTTATGTGGCAAAAGAATCAATCACCAGTTGTTGTTACTCATTTTTATAGGTCACTGGTTTCTAACATTACTTATGTATTATAAGATACTAGAAAGTCAGTAAACTGGATTGTAATTTTAAATATAGCAATAGAGCCTATTAAAAAGAAAGAGGAGGTCCCATCACATCTTCAGTTTTAAGACAGCAGGTAATCCTCACTTATGTGTAGTTGCCTTCTTAACAAATCACTCCTGCCTTGTGCAACAGATGTCATTGCCACAGCAACTGTGGCCCTCCGGAGCTGGCACCTCGCAGCAGACAGGCCAGCCCATGCTGTCATCACACGTTTCTGAACTGGGCCTAAGTGCCGCGACCTAAGCTAGGGGAGACCAAACGATGTTTGGGGGGAGTCCTCACCCCCCAGCAGTGGCCCAGCCCTGCTGCACCCTTTACAAATAAGCATTTAAAGTAGGTGCATCTGGAAGACGTGCCCTCCACACCAGGAAAGCATGTTTCACTGACTGCCCCGAGGGGAAAAGCCTCTTGGAACTGGCTGGCAAGGTCATGACCATGTGGTTTAGCTCTGGTGAGCACGGTTCATCCTCAGACAGCCCCCCACAATGACATCTGGATACTGGGTTTAACACAGGGCCTTTATCAGCACCAGAGTTCAGATAACCCTCATTAAAGAACATTTAGCTGAAACTTGGACTATTTCCTTCTAAGGAAACCCTCAGACAATGACAGAACTCCGTGGGAGATCCTGCTCCTGGACAGCACCGCGGAAACAGAGGGTGCTGAGGGCAGGCAGGAGCTGCCAGGGACCTGTCTGAGATTTCTGATTCATTAACTGCAGTGTGAGTTACACTCTTAATTAAACACTATTGCTGATTGTTTTCTGTTCACTGTGCTCCTTGCTCTGCTTGTGTACAAATGTGTACATTCCAATAGCAACCCTAATTGACACCAGCCCCTAAAGGGACAAACCCCAGATGTACAGCAATCTCAGGACCAGGCCCAGGCCCAGACTGAACAGGAGAGCCCAGGTCTAGGCCTGGGCACCTAAGAGAATTAAAGTCATGGGCAGAGACGGGAGAGACCAGAGAACCTGAACGTGTACTTCAGTCCCCAGAAGCGTACACACTTATTCCAGTAGCAAACTTTAAGTAGGAGCAGGATTGGACCCCTTCTATAGTTTGTGGTTCGAGTGTGTCCAAGGGCACTGTGCTCTGGCTGATGTTAATCTGTTCATTTATGGTCACGTCTGTGTGCACCTTTGAGATCTACCCCGGGCCGCAGTGCTGGCTGGAGGTATAAGCAGGGACAAGCTGCAGCCCTGCAGGGAGGATCCCCCAGTCTGCCCAGTCATTAACGGCTCATCCCAGTTCACTGCTACCAGTACCGTTGAAAGCAGCACCATAAAGAAGCCCAAGGACAGTAACTTAACCATTGTTTTTTTAATTGTGCCATCCCACCGGCTGCTAAAGTACCTGCCAGAGCCACAGACTGAAGGGTAAACAGCTGCCACCTGCGGGTACCTGGGATTCCTCTAGCACTCCTCAGTCCCACAGCACAGACGTGGCACCCACAGCCAAGTGCCTGGACCCACTGCCTAAGGCAGCTCCTGTGCAGCTCAGGATGAGCACAAGTCCTTAAGTAGCCAGGCAGGTAGCGGCTCTGGGTGGACAGCAACGATACCGCGAGAGTTCATCCAAAGAAGTTCAGTAAAGACCAGCGGTAATGGGGCAGAATCAAACTTCAAATACATTTCCACTCAACAGAGAAGCCCTTCCTGTCCCCCAGCTTGAGGAGCCCAGTGCACAGAACGTGTCTGCCCTCGGCCTGCGACCTCCTGGGGGAGGCACAGCAGGTGCTCACACCCCGGCACAGGCTGCACCTCTGCCTGCCAGGGCACATCCACCCTCAGCCCTGGGCTCCAGCAGCTCCTGTCCTCCACGCCAAGGCAACAGGGAAGGCAGAAATGTAACTGGACAGAGATGAGCAGTTACGAGCCCCATCAGCTGTGCCACAGACCCCGCGTGGGTTGGGAGGAGCAGCATTGTTCATGGTGTTACAGAAGAGAGGTTGAGTGGGGACACCCGACGTGTGGGAGTGTTGTTGGCTGACAGTGACGCGGGCAGGAAGAAGGGGGCAGCGATATCGGTGGACGATGTTTCTCCTTGGTTGCGAAGCTGTAATATCTGCCGCAGCAAGGCCTTTCCTTCTTCTCTGGTCTGAAAAGAGTTTGTGAAAAACAAAACAATACACCTATGGATGTGTGATTTCTGGGTCAAATGCAGTATGTAAGCAGTATAGGTTATGGTACTTTGTCATTCTGTAAGGCTGAAAACTATAAAACCTGTCCTCATTCCTTTTGTCTCCTGCTGTTTAAAAAAATTAAGGTATGTCACTTTTTTTTGGTCTTTTCTCCTTTCATGCCTGATTTGCATCTTACTTGGGTATTTTAGACAGCTGTACCATCAACCACTGAAGCTGTCTAAATATTCCAGCAAAACATAGATTGGAGAAGCTTCAAACAAGCTGAATTCAGGTTCTCCAGAGAGCTTTGTTAAGGACAGGCCACACACCCTGCACTACAGCTAGTGTCTACCGTTAGGCTGAAGTTAAAAATCAAAAAATTGTCCGCTTACAGATACACAACGACTCAGAATATGGAGTCACCTATGAACCCAAGTACTGTTATATCCTCTGCACTGCCTACACACAGAAGATGAGGGAACAAAATAGTTCTGGGAGTGCCGTCACTCCACAGCATGTGGGAGTCTGTGGCCATGTGAACACCTGCCATGTGGAGCCTCAATTCTTTTATTTAGTGACCACCAATGAGAATGGTTCAGTGTTACTTATCTACACCATACTCCAGTCTTCAGTCAACCACAAGCAGCACTAGTGGTCAAGTACACAACATCATCACTCCAGGACGTGTCTGTCATGGCAGACAGCCCTCATTCCTTCATAAAGGATTCCTGCTGCTGCCAGAGGAAGGGAGATGGAGGTCACCAAGCCCCTAGGAAGGAGCAGCGACGACTGTGCATCGACTCACGTCATTGAATGCGCAGCACTTCTGAGCACAGGCTGAGGCTTCGTCCCAGAGCTTGCACTTGAAGTAGTACTGGGCCAGGTAACGGAAGGCAGTGCTGACCTCCAGGTGCTCCACTATCTCCTACAGCAAGGGAGTAAAAACGATCAGCTGGGAGGGCCTTCCAAGGTACTGTTACACCATGTCTACTTCTCCTCTTCCCCCCAGGATATCATCTTACCCCACAGGAATAGATATCCTGGATGTATTTGATGTAGCACTGAGCCGCCTGTTCAGACTCATTCAGCTGTTCGTGCAACCTAGAAAGAGAGAAAAACAGGTGACTGGAACAGGACTGCAAAGACCTTCTCGGCCTAGAGACAGCACCCACCCAACCTGACCTGGACTAAAGCCAGGTCTTTTCCTTCAGAGTTTGCAAGACACGCACCGTGTTCTGCCCTTCATGAAAAGGGATGATCCAGCCTGGGAACACTGACACTGCCAGGAAGGGAGCCAGTCAGACACGAACTGCTAGAAGCAGCAACAACCACAGCAGCGACCTTTGCTTACTCTGCTACATTTTAAAGCTTTTAACAGACCTTTGCCATCCTGTTTTAGCTGGCTATTTCCTCCAGTGCTCCTTCTTCCCAAAAGTCTTTGTAAAGCAGCCTCACCTTTCACTTGCACTTTTCCTTCCCCTTCACTTTTTCCACTTTATATTACTTTAACCCCACCAAGAATCAGTGATGTCAGAGTGTTCACATTTATTTCACATTGAACCCTTTCCCAATGTTACAATCCTATACTGAGAAAATTAAAAAAAACAGTAATTGAAAACAAATCAATGTACATCATCTATCATTGATTGCTTTAAGTTTCAACAGAACAAACAGGATTGCTAGCACTGCCTGCTCAGATCCCCTCTGGACTCAGGGGTCCCTTGTGACCCACGTTACACTACGATTCCCTCTAGTTATCCTGGTGGAACCTCAAAGCTAAAGCTGGACACCAGGATTTTCAGTCACTACAGACCTAAAGATTGCAGTTGTTACACAGCTCCCAAAGAAATACTACCTAACAGCAACTCCACTGCTTCACATAGAGTATTTTATCATTCGGTGAAGGGCCAGTTGCATTGAGCAGAGTAGTGACAGTTCAGTGACAACTCATACTCACTTTGCTAGTTTCACCAGTGCCATCTTCTCCACATCTCCCACAGCATAAGCTCTCCAGTAGCACTGTCAAGGAAGGAGAGTCAGTCAAACACACCACAGAACCCACTCCAGCTTATGACTCGCAGGCGAGCCAGAACCAGACTGCCTGGCTCCAGCCAAGGGGCCGGCGTCCCCACAGGTGACCCCTGACCAGCCACACCACGGCAGAACAGCCCAACGGTAACCAACTGCACAGGAACAGCTTCACACACCCTGCGTGCCCTCCCAGCAGCACCAGCTGCACAGCTCTGCTGTGACTCCCCCAGTGACCCGGGAGACATCCTCATGTCTTACTCCACACATCAGCTCTCACTTACCTTTTTAGCTTCCACCAGCTGATTGAGTTTCTCATAGCACTCCCCGAGAGCAACCAGCATACGAGAGTCATTGGGTCTGTAAAAGAGCAATTCCTAAATGTAGCTGATCTCAGGGTGGGTGGGGGAAAAAATCTACACCTGGCAGCATCTGTTATCCCCTCTTGCATAAAACATCATTTATACTCCCGACCAGCGTTCCTCGACAAAGCCTTTGTTAACCAACACAACTAGAAGGATTTGGAACAGGGAAACTGCACAAATCACAGAGCACGGATGTTTTTCTCCCTCCTGCAACTTAGCTCCTGTGTGTGAATTCCTTCACTAGTAGCAATCACGTCAGAATGAACACCAAGAAATATGGCTCCGTTCTCAACTCTACCTGAGCTGGTGGGCCCGTCGGTAGTAATAGAGACAGTAAAATGGCATTTTGAGGATTTCATAGGTTTGCCCCAAACCATACCATGCTCTGTAGTCCCTTTTGTTCACCTCTATTGCATGCCTGTTGAAGGAAAGATGAACTTGTCAGAAAGCAGTCAGGATCAAAACCAAGACAGAGTTCAGCAAAAGACTAACAAAAAATAAAAAGTACTACTTCAGTCCTTGTGCATGCAGACTCCAACACCATTTTGTGCAGTGCATGAGTGGTACCTGTAAGCCTGGATAGCTGCAGATGTGTTCTTCATTTCCATATACTCGTGTCCCATAAGTGTCCAGGCTCCCAGATAACGAGGGTTCAGTTTCAAGGCCCTCTGGAAATAGAGCGCTGCTTTTTCATGCTGGGAACGCAAGCTGTAATAATTCCCTAAAGCAAAAGTCACAATAATTAAGGAAGTTCAGAAAAACCCACAAACAAACAACCCAGCAGAGAAGTAGAAAAAAGATGGAAGAGATGTTATCTGCCACCTCCTATCTTAAATTATAAAGGGTGCTATTAAAGGCAGATCTGATTCGGACCCCAAGAGAGCTAACAGCAGTCTGTTCTCCAGTGCTCTGGTCAACCCTTTTCCAGTGGTACCAACCAGTTAAGATCCCATCCCCTTGGCCTTAAAACTTATGATGTAACAAATTAATTTCCCGGTCCTGACACACAATTATTTCTCCTGGAAATTATTTCCAAGACTATAAAGGGATTATCAGCTACATGGGTCCTCATACCGATTTCTTCAATTCCTTTCTGCACCGATAGCATCACAGCAGCTCTTTCAGAGAGAAATGAGGGAAAAGGGCACCCTCTCATGTGGTCAGGTTTTTAGGCTGCCTGAATGCATTCACCCCGTGGTTCTGATCGCCTTGCTGGCTGACCACTTTCACAAGGGTTTCCTCACACAGCCTGCAGGTGGCACAACGGGAAGAGGTAACGGAGCTGGCTCTCACCAATCACACAGCAGGTCTCAACACGGTACTTGTCTATCTCACACAGATTGTGAGCCAGGTAGCTCAACTCAGGCTTCATGCTCTAGTCAAACAAAGAAATGGAAGTGATGAGAAAAGGAGCATGCTGCAGCTTCACAGAAAACCCAGGCAGTCAGCAACACCAACACCAGATCTATTTCACAGAGCTGTGGAGCAGGCAGCAGAAGCTGAGAGCCCAGACTGAGGCTGGGCAGCACCAGCTGCTTCACTGGCCCTTACCACACCTCCAGGAAACACCATCACCAGGGACAGGAAACAAAATGGGGGCTTACCCTCACGTACAGCAAGTTGGAGAAAGTGTCCATGTTTTCTATCCTGTAAGGATCTTGTTTCCTCAGCTCGTTAAAGATGGATAAAGCTTTGTCAATATCTGAAGAAAGAACAGCAGATGGGGGAACAAGAACTATAAATGCCAAGCCTGCAGTAAGAGGCTCGTTCCTACTAGATAGTAAGTGTCACTGACCTCGGATGTTGTGGTAGGCAACTGCAATCTGAGAGATGATATAAGTGCTTTTGGAAAATCCTGCATCAATGAGGCTCTGATACTTCTGCAGAGCCTCCTCTATCAGCTGCAGCTCTGTATAAATGTGTGCAAGAAAGAACTCTTTCATCCATGTATCTGGCAAGGACAGGAACTTCAACTAGCAAGAACCAAAGAAGAGGAGGAAGAGATGACAGTCAGTAGCACTAGAAGAGCCACCTGTGGCAAAGAATCCATTATCTTCCCTCCCATGACTTAGCAGATGGTCCTGTGGTAGGAGGCTTTCCTGCAATCACTTTCTTAAACCATTACACCAGCTACAAATGAGCAGTATTAGGACCAAGAATTATTATCAGGTTCTTCCACAGGAGAGACTAAATAATGCCTACAAACTGAGAATACTGAAACAGGAAAGGAGCATTAAGACATCCTGTCGAAGAAGTAATACAATACGGACCGCAAAATTCTATTTAGTGACTCCCAATCTATTCCCACAACTGCTGAAATTGAAGAAAAAAATCAAAGCCATTTCATTTGGTCAATCAGTGAAGAAACTGTCTTCAAATCTGACAGCACCTGGCTTCTGCTTCAGCTACCAGCCTTATCTCTCCATTAAATTCAGAAGGCCTTTGAAAGACTGTACTTTCCTCCTATGTTTGAACATCAATATCACATCACTATTTCTGATGAGCTAAGTGAACAGACTCTGAATAATCTCACAAAAAATGCATTTCCCTTCTTCCACAATTCAGTAAGGCTCTCTTCTGTGCCACTTTTACTTTTTGAAGTATCTCACCAGCCAGAATTGATTTAAGAATTTCAGAAGTGGTATCATACAATCCCATGCATAAAGAAAAATAAAGTATTTCTGTTCTATATCTAAGTTCAGTTCTTTGGTACAGTTAATCTCCTAACTGCGGGTTGATATTTGGCAAAGGGAACACCTACATTATTGGTTTAGCTTTAAAAGCAGTGATTCTATATATCCTTTCAGGCCACCAAAAGCGCTCAATAACTGTGGAACTAGAACCAGATTTAAAAAAAATAAAAAAATAAAAAAAATCTTTGGAGGATCTCCTTCATGTGACAAGGCAATAAGCCTGTGGACAGCTACTCCAGAATATGTCAATTAGCCATTTCTTAAACGACTTTGTGTGTGAATAAGAAATTAGCCCTGCTTGTATAAAGATTCTCAAGCTACAGCATGGCAAGCAGTTGAAGGAAAAGAGGCTTTTACAACACAGTTTACAATGTTGGATTGCCTTGTCTTGCCTGATAAGTCTCACAGAATAAAGCAGTGGGTGACATCAGTCCTGTGGCAACTGAATCACTGGTTACTGAATCAGGTTAAAATCTGGAATTTGCCACCATATGTTGATATCTCCCAAGTTTTACCATTTCTTTGTCTGTAATCAAGTTGCAAAGTTCCAGCCAGGCTCCCCAGTGCAAAGGTAAGACATGGGCAGCTTCAACGAACACATCTATTGCTTCTTTCACCAGGTCCAGCTTCCGCAGCACAACACCATACCTGTAACGTTATCGGGGTCATCAGAACCATAAAACTCTGCATATCCACAGAAATACACATGAACACATTAGAAATACATGCAGACACTTACAGATAAAGGCCAAATCCATCCAGTTCCCGTGCCTTGTGTTTCTTGCTGAGCTCAACTCTCAGTTCTCGTAGAGCTTCATTTTTCACCTGTCCTTTTTCCAGAGGTCCTGCACAAGGAAAGTCAGACAGCTGGCTTTCAATCAGAGTCCTCCCACAGCAGTTACAAAGTCTAAGGTACGTTCAGAATCATCACTGACATGACTTGAAGGCTTCCCAGCCTAGGGTTATTGTCCTCTTTTTAAAAGAAAAATCACTTGGTCTGGTCACCTGCTTTAACAGAAGAACTAATAGATGAAAATCTGCAATCTGTGTTAACCCAAAGAACTGAGAAAGAAATGTTACATCACACTAGTATCCAAAAATTGAGAGGAAAACAATAAAACCAAGATGATTCACATGAAGAGGCATTACTGGCAGCTTCATTACACTGTCTTTTGTTTCTTGATGCCAGAGACTTACCCAAACTATCCACTGTCTCATCATCCTTCTTCTTTTCCCCTGACTGTGGAAAAGAGAAAAAACAAAAATACATGAAAATAGCATACTCTTTATGTTTGCTGCAATGCTCACAGCAGCATGTAAATAATTTTCACAAACATCACAGTTCTAAAAGGAACTCTTTTTCTCCCCTTTTTATCCCCCCCCCTGTAATTTGGACTTCTAGGTGGTCATTTGGAACAGAATAGGCAAAAAGTAAGGTATGTCAAGGAGGGGTGGGAGGCAGAGGGTCTCAGTGCTAAAAGTCAACTTTTCCCTCGATCTTACCAGGTATCTAGAGTACATATACAAGAAGTAAGCTTTCTGACTCTTGCAGCCCCGCAGAAAATAGGCAGCCCTGTCATATTCCTTTAGATCAAAGTAAGATTTGGCTAATGTATAGGCATCCAGGTCACGAGCATCCTCCTGCAGGGACACAGAAGAGTTTTACGACCCCAGAAGCTCTGACATGCTTCAGGAAAATCACCTAGTTACAAACATATCAACGAAATTGCTCTGAAAGATAGAAATGTAGTTTACTCATCCTCAAAGATAGTTTCAGTACAATCAGAAAAGTCTCTCCATTCCCTCATATGATCAGATTCCTACTTCTCAAATAATAAGCACAGACTAGTTAGAAACATTTAAAATAAGCAGTGTGATTCCAGAAAACAAATTGTGGCAAGATGCCAGAAGGCACAACTTAGCTCTTCAATGGGTATAAATGACCATAAATAAGAAAGCTACTCAGGAATTTCATATCAAACAGCATTAACCCGTTAACTTAAATGTGAACGTTTCCTTGGTAACTATGCCTTGAATGCACTTATGTTACCCTGCTGTAATTTGACAAAAGAGGCACAGACTTTCCGTACACCTGCAGAGACAAGGATGGAGACAGAACTCGCTTCTCCAGTGTCCTAAGGGGCACAGGTTCAATAGCACAACGTAATTTGTGTTGAAATAAATTTGGGCCTTAGCGAATATGAACGAAACCAAAAATTAAGTAGCGTGATTTCAGATTTTGCTTGCAGAGTATCTCATTCAGGGCCCCGCGACACGTGGAAGGAATCCTTCCATCTGGGGAAGCGCATTCAGCCCCGCCCGAGGCACCACGCGCACAACGGGAGGGCGGTTCGCGCGTTACGGACCCACCAACCCCGGAGCAGCCTCCGCGCGTTCCCCAGCTGATCACTCTCGCGTTCTCCCCTGGCAGCCGCGGGTGGGACCGAGCCGCCGCCCGCAGCGTTTTCATTTTTTTTCTGATGGTAAGGGCCATATATACTCTATCATGGAAGTGTCCCTCATAATCCCTTCTTTTACTGCAGAAGTGACTTGAGTCAGAGGGCCCAGTGTTTGAATTGGCAGCAAGTTCACTGGTAATGACAGGAGTGTCGCTGATGAGCATGGTGTCACCATACTTGATTCGTTATTATCATAAGAATTTTTTTTTTTGGTGAGCCACTGAGTGTCACTGTTTCTTCTTACACTGAATCCAGTTTAGATTCTAAGGCTACCACTGGCTTTCAGTTTGATGATTACTATGACAATTTCTAGGTTGTGACTATGTTGATCTGGAACCATTTAATCTGGAGCAACTGGCTGAAATCAAGGTTGTTCTACAAAGATTGACAGAAATAGGAATAGCCCAGTTCATTTAAATGGGAAATGATGGGTTATTTATAGTCTTTCTTGGCCTTTCAAATAGGCAAAGCCAATTAGTCCATTGTTTGAAGTCTGACTTTAGTATTATATGGTTTTATTCCTCTCTCTTAATTTTAGATAAATATGTTGCTAATTTGGTTGTAGCTTTGCCAGAAAATGCTTCTCTTATTCTGTCAGCCCATATATCCAAGGTGTAAATATAAAGTTCTTTGTTACCATTGTTATAACAAAGATGGGGTCTAGTCAACACACAAAATGCCTCAGTCATTTCTCATTCCCTCGCTCCTTGCCCTGCCCCAAAGCACAGATGGAAAAAACCCTTAGAATTATTTTTTTCTGATATAAATTTTTGTTGTCCTTACAGTCTCTTTCGTGTTCTCCATATCCAGGGATCAGCTGTTAGAGGAGGTTGTTCTGTACTCATAAGTTTTGTACTTGTGTTTTGATATTTGCTTTAAAATTAGACTGTTTTATTTTAGGATGTTCATTTTTTACAAGAATCCAGAGTACTTTGGTTTTTCTTTGGGGATTTTGTTTTGTGTGTGAGGTCTGTGAAGTAATTTTATCAAAGTCTGTTC